TTTCTCAGACTGCAAAACTCTTAAATAAAAGAGAAAAAAATCAGTAGGGCTCTGGAAAGCGATGGAAGAAGGATGAAGAGTGCCATTATAAAAAACCTCACTTCTTAATAAAAAATGCCAGAAAATTCCCTAAGAAAAAAAAATCAGGTGCCAAGAAAATCCAAATGCCTTTCCCCAATACTAAGCTGTGCCAAGCAATGTGATGCTGACTGCTTGGATGGAATACATACAGAGAAAGAGAAAGAAAGAGGGAGGGAAATTGGCCTGAATATAACAGAAATAATTCCCCTTTTGCTGCTTGAACAATCAGTCAACAAATGGAGCAGCAAAACCTGCTGACGTCAAAGAAACCACAACGGACCCCTCTTTGCTTCTCTGCCAAGAGAAAGTGGGGAGAGAGAGACAAGTGTAAGGTTGTCAGCTATACACAACAATGTTATTGGATCAGGCAATATAGAGCCTGCCTTTGCTGACTTTGTAAGGCAAAATCTAGGGCCATTTCCTCTTCAATCTGACGGTTCTAAAGTTTCTCCCCATCATTTCATCCTGGTCCAACAAGCAGAGATAAGAGCCCTAAAGCTCGAAGCAAGGCCTATACTGCCCAAAACTCTTGACTGCATGGTAGGCAACCAGTCTATAGCAGAACATTAATAGAACTGTCTGAAAATAGTACTTATATATTCAAGCATAAACAGAGTTATTCAGCCCTTTTTTTAGTCTGAAAAAGCCCCCCTCGGGATGCCTGTGGTGAAGGAAACACATAAAATCTAGAATGAAATTGTCCCTGTATGAAAGCCTTCACTTGGGTGGTGGGCAGTATGGTATTTGTGGAGGACATTGGCAGGGCTATCGGACATGTTCATGATGCTCACTATAATCTGCAATGTCAATGGAGGGAGGGCCAGTGGTGTCTCCTGAGTAGTGGGAGTTATAGCTGTTTGTGGAGGCAGGAACTTGCCTGTGTGAGTGGACACTCCAGCCACATACACACATACATATTTTCACTTTTATTGTATGTGCGTGTGTATATATATAAATGAAAATCTTACAAGGATTTAGTTTTAACCTACGGTTTCCTAGTCAAATTGAATGACCATGTCGTGAAAGGAGGCATGTTTCAAAAACATGTCACCAACACGGAAAGTTTTGAAAGCTCTGTACTAATCAGAAAGGAAATGTACTGGGTACAGAATTGCCGCCAAAACCCAACTTTCGATTTCTGGGAAAGCATAATAGGCCCTCGAAGGCTAGCAAAAACAGAGAAAGAAGAGTGCTGCTCAAACAGGAAAGGACATATTAACTGCCGCACGTTGTAGGTCAAAAATAGCACAGCCTCCAAAGCCGGCAGGATGTTTTGGAAAGAAGGCCAAGAGGAGAAAGCAGGGCCAAGCGTAACATTACGTGGGGCTTTTTCCACCGTTCTGCAGAAACTGGTCACACTGACAGCTGAAGCAGAGCATGAATATCTATGTGACTCAGGCACCACTGCGTTTTCATGCCCTGCCTCTGGCAGACCAAAATTGGAAAAATGCCATTGGCTGCAAAAAATACAGGAGCCTTAAGAGTTGCTTGCCAACTTCCTTTTATATAACACACACACACACACACACAGAGTATGTATGTATATTGATTGGTTCGTTTAAACCACAAAGGGGTTTGAGGGAACTGGACCAAACTTGGCACACAGAACCTTTCATGATCCAACTTAAAATAATTGAGGGGGCTGAACTAAAAAAACCCACCCATTTTGGACCCAGAGAAGAGAGAAAGAAAAGGAACAAAGTGGATTAGATGTTGCGGGATGACCTATGTATGACAGGAAGGAAGAAAAGACTGACAGAGAAAAGAATGGAATGAAAGGGCGGGATAAGGAAAGGAGGGTGGGAAAAGAAAGGGGGAGGCATTAAGAATAGAGGGAAGAAAGAGAAAGAAAGAAAAAAACAAGGGAAGAAAGAATTGAGGAAGGGAGGAGAGGAAAGAAAGAGAAGAGAAAAGGGAGGGAGGGAGGGAGGGAGGGGGAAGGCGCAAGGGAAAACAAGGGAAGATGGAAGGAAAGGAAAAGGAGAAAGGAACAAGGTGTGTGCCTTCAACCGCGAGATGGGTAATAAATAAAATTGTTGTTATTATATTATGTACAGCCTGTAATGAGAAATCAATTGTCCCAAGTACAACTTATCTCAAGGTAGGATTCCTAAGTCTAAATGTCAGGTGAGGGAGAAAAAAAGAGCAAGCTAGAAAGCAGCCCTTTTATTGCCTGTTCATAGTTCACCATCCTTGTGAAACAGATAGCCAAAAACCAACCCTGCAGACAAAGATTATGGGGCGGGGAAGCATCAGTGGGTGGAAGAGGAAGCAAGAAAAAATGCCTTGGGTGTGGACTAAGGGCGTATCTGCAAGCCATGAGTCGGGCACAACCGGAAAAGCGGGCTTGCCTGGGATATAAGGAATGTCTGGAACTAGAGAGAGAGAGGGAGAGAGAAAGGGAGAAACAGGGTGGAAAATACTCAACGGAAAAGGCTGGCAGGGAACCAAGAACGCAGCAACACAGTGTCCTGAGCAATGGGTCGAGATGGAGGCCGGCAAGAGTGGTGTTCACTGGGTCAAATAAGGATTTAGCCATGAAAGCTGAAAGCTGCCCAAAGACAACACTTCTGTCTCCAAGGGATTGGAGAAATGAGCAAACATTCAAACCCAGAAGTGAGGTCCTTGCTGGACCAAACTGGAGGCACAGCCACCCTTCACTTTCGCACAGGACTTCCTTCAAAAGTGAAACCCCAAGAAAAGACAACCCCTCTCTGGCAATGTTTAGGCCAGAGTTTCTCAAACTGTGCTCCTCCAGATGTTTTGGACTTCAGCTCCTACCATTCCTAACAGCTGGCAAGCTGGCTGGGATTTCTGGAAGCCGAAGTCCAAAACACCTGGAGGAGCACAGTTTGAGAAACACTGCTTTGGGGGATCCAGAACTTCCTAGAGAGGGGTTTGCTCTAAGAGTCAAGGTTCTCCAGCATGTCTCTATCATCAACATCAGGCAGAAGGTCATAGTCAATAGGAGTTACTGATCAGATGTTTCGAACCCCTGCTTTAGGAATTATTTGGGAACTGAAGACCGACCTTGGAAAGGTCATGGGAGAGGTCACATCAGGACACATGTCTCTGATTGTGACATGAAGGTTGGGATGAACCATTATTATCAATATTTTTAATCTCTTGATTGAAATGCATCTTCAAAGTTATGCATGGGCAAAGCATCGCACTCTATAAAAATAAAGGATAGTCGGTATCTGCCATTGGACTGCAACTCCCATGAAGCCCATTATAATTTGCGCCCCTCTTTGTAAATAATCTGACCATTTACCAGATGATAGTCCCCATTTGCCATCATGAGATAACTAAATGTTACACAAATTCACCCTATTCCTTTCCTACACTATCCCAATAATGGCATCGAACCCTATGTTACATAATTCTCTCACGACACAAAACCACAAAGACAATTTTCCAGAGCAGGAACAACAAAATGCACATTCTGCCAACTTTTCTCCATATAAAACCCACTGAAAACACACTCTCCCAGCCTCAGAGGAAACCAAAGGCCCATGTAGGAAAATCCTAATAGAGGTTGCTATAAATCCAGGTTGAGTTAAAGAAACGCAACAGTTTTCCCTAACATACGTTTTCCACAGTTGCTTTTCTCCCATGTTTTGCCCCACCACAACACAGTCCCTCATTTTTCTAAGTAATAGACAGTAAGAAACTCCATGATCCCCTCGCTTTTATACCTGTTTTGAAAGGTACTTTGAACCCAAAGGCAAGGGCAAAGATAAGATATAAATCAATAACAAAACAAAATTCATAGTTTTCTCCATCTGATTTTTGCGCACAATAAAAAATCAACTCTAAACTCTTCCCTTTCCCATTGGAGAATATCCCATTTTCAGTATCACATTCTTCCTGAATAGGTAGCACCCGCAATGTACTCCATTGAACACCTTTCTTTCATACAATAGGGGATCTCTGGCATCCAACTATCTGAAAATGACCCTACACAAAACAACATATGTAGTAATAACAATAATAATAATAATAATAATCCACATTGTCTGCTTTGAACTGGAATACATGACAGTATGGACTCAGCTAACCCAGGACCCTTCCAACCAAGAATACCAAGGCAGAAAATCTCACAATATCTGCTCTGAACTGAGTTATCTGAGTCCACACTGCCATATATTCCAGTTCAAAGCAAATAACGTGGGATTTTATTCAGCTGTGTGGAAGGGGTCCCAGAATATCAAGGCAGGAAATCCCACAATATGTGCTGTGAACTGGGTTATCTGAATCTACACTGCCATATATTCCAGTTCAAAGCAGATATTGTGGATTTCCTGCCTTGAGATTCTGGGTTATATGACTGTGTGGAAGGGCCCCGAATCACATTGCCATATAATCCAGTTCAATGTGGATTTTATACAGATGTGTGGAAGGGACCAATGTGGATTCTCTGCATGGATATTCTGGATTTTATGGCAATGTAGAAGGGAAGGACACCCGTTTTCCTTCACTCTCAGAGCCCTTCCACACAGCCATATAACCCAGAATAGAAAGGCAGAAAATCCCACAATATCTGCCTTGAACTGGGTTGTCTGAGTCCACACTGCCATATAACTCAGTACAATGTGGATTTTATACAGCTGTATGGAAAGGACCTTACGACAGTTTTGACCCCCTCCGAATTTAGCACTCCTCCCTTACCTTTTGAACATCCCCATTTCCCACCCTGTGAGGACACCCCGTTTTCTCCTCGCCTCAAAGACCCCCCAGTTCCCCTTCCCTCTCCAGGGCCCCCCATTTCCCCTCAGTCCAAGGACACACCCCGTCTTTTCTCCCCCAGACACCCCACTTTCCCTTCACATTGAGGAGCCCTTCAGTCCCTTTTCACTTGCAGAACCCCCCGCTTCCTCATTTTGAGGCCTATTCGCGGCTTCGGTGCCTTCACTCACGTAGATAGGCAGGGGCCACGGGTAAACGGCCGGCTCGGCTCCCACGGGCGACTTCAGCCGGAGCTCCAGCCTCTCGCCCATGTCGGCGGCGGTGAGGAGTCCGAGAAGCGGGAGGTCAGGTCGGGGCGGCGGCGGGGGGCATGCTGTGGAGGACCGAGCGCGCCGCTCTGGCTCGCCTCTCTATTGCCGCCCGCGCCGCGCCGCCGCCATTTTGAACCCGACGGGAGGGGCCGCGGAGGAGTGACAGCCCGGGAAAGAAGGAAAGAGCCGGGGAAAGCTTCGAAATTACAACGCGGGCGGGCGACGGCACGCAAAGTATTGTTTCTCCTCTTGTGTGTACTGTAGTAGTAATGGGGAGAAAAGAACACGCGACGTCACGTACGCAAAGGAAGGGGGGAGAGGGGCAGGGGGTGCGCAGGCGCACCACCGCCCGCCCACGTTTTCCCTATAGGTATGAATACATATCGAACCGAGTCGTGAGGTGAGAAGACACAGCAGCAAGGAGCATGCGCAGAAGGGGTTTCTTTCTACAAGGGGGAGGAGTTTGCGTCTTCTCTTCGTCCAATCATGTTCGACCTCGGTTTTCTCCTTTACTGGGAGAACGCGCATGGGCTGGGGGATAGAAAGGGATGGGGAATATAAAAGGCGCGCGGAGAGAGGGTTAGCAGATGCGCAGGCGCACTACCGCTCGCCTTCGTTTTTCTATATCCATATTGAACTGAGTCGTGAGGTGAGAAGGAGCATGCGCAGAAGGGGTTTCTTTATTAAAAGGGGGAGGAGTTTGCTTCCTCTCTTCGTCCAATCATCTTCGACCTCGGTTTTTCTTCCTTATTGAGAGCGAGAACGCGCATGGGTAGGGAAGGGGGGAAGAAAAGGAGCGTTGAATAACAAAAAAGAGCGGGATTCTGTGTCTAGGAAGGTGGTTGCGCATGCGCGCGCGCCTCCTCTTGTCCTCACTTGCCCTTCTCCAAGGGGAGGCGGTGATTGGTTGGGGCGCGGGAGCGCGCACGCCCTCTTTCTCCTCACGACGCTTTTTTACTACAACTCGCATCATAACAGGTTCACCCTAAGGAACTCCATCAGTACTTAAAGTTTGTTCTGGATGCATCATCGGTGGGGTTGAGTATGCTCTCTGGCTGTAGGGTAAACTACAACTCCCACTATGGTGAGTCAGTCCCCTCAAAGCCCTCTAGTAGGTTGAGTTAGTCATGAGGGTTCTGTGTACCAAGTTTGGTCCAGGTCCATCATCAGAGGAGGTCACCATTTCTCTGATTGTGGGTGAACTACAACTCCCAGAAAGGAAGGTCAGTTCCCCCCAAACCCCTCCAGTAATCAAAATTCGGCATATCAGGTATGCGTGCCAAGTTTGGTGCAGATCCATCGGTATTTGGGTTCACAGTGCTGTCTGGATGTAGGTGAACTAGAAGTCCCCCAAATCAAGGTGAATTTCTCCCAAAGACCTCCAGGTTTTTTGTTTGTTTTTTTGCTGGTTATGGGGGCTCTGTGTGCCAAGTTAGGTCCAGTTCCATCTTTGGTGGAGTTCATAGTGCTCATTGATTGCAGGTGAACTATAAATCCCAGTACCTACAACTCCAAAATATCCAGTCCAATTCCCCTCAAAACCCACCAGTATTCAAATTTGGACACATCAGGTATGTGTGCTAAGTTTGTTCCAGATCCATCATTGTTTGTGTTCATAGTGCTCTCTGGATGTAGGTGAACGACAACTCCTATAAATCCCTCCAAAGACCTCCAGTATGTTTTGTTGGTCATGGGGATTCCTCTTTGTTTTCTGTGTGCCATAGGAAAGGGTTAAGGAAGAGGCAGTGCAAATTCCACACCAATGGAGATAGTCAGAAACACTGAGATGTATGTGGTGGAAGAAACACATACAATCTAGTATGAAATTGTCCCCAAATGAAAGCCTTCACTTGGATGGTGGGCAGTATGGTGTTTTGAAAGACATTGGCAGGGCTCTTCGACATGTTTATAGAGCTCTTTATCACCTACTTGGAGGGAGGGCCATTGGTGTCCCCTGAGTATTGGGAGATATAGTTGTTTGTGGAGGCAGGAGCTTGTCTGTGTAAGTGGACCCCCCAACCCCAAACACACACACACATATATATACTATTATTGTGTGTGTGTGTGTATAATTTCCCTGAGATTAATTACAGCTATAATTAGTCTGTACATTATAATAGTAATAATAATAAGTTGATTTCTGAAAACATGAAAACAACAATACAAAGAAAAGATCAGATGATTCCTGGATCCCACAACATACAGAAAACTAAAACGAGACCCAATCAGCAAAATCACCAGAAAAACCAACACTCTGATCAAGAACTTCTTGATTAACCTGAACATATGCCAACAACTGTGCAAATCAGAAGCCCTCCCATCTAGGCTTTATGAACTCCCAAAAACCCATAAGGACTCCACCCCACTCAGACCTATAATGAGCACTATTGAATCCCCCACATACGACTTGGCAAAATTTTGGCCACACAGCTACAAACCCATGTTGGGCTTACTGCACACTATATCAAGGACTCAGTACACTTAATAGAAAAAATCAGCAACCTCAAGCTCAACACCAATGATAAACCAATCAGCTTTGATGTGGTTTCTCTATTTACCAAGGTCCCAGTAGCAGACACCACTGCAGTAATCAACCAGAGTTTCCTAGAAGACATCACAGCTGTGTTTCTGCTGGAAATGACAACCTTCAAGCCTTCTCTAGTAATCTGTTTATCTATGATCTTGTTGCTTACTGTTTCCTGTATGTATGTTCTGGTATGCAGTTTCCTTTATGGTTCCTGTCTATATTCCCAAAGGCTTGAAACTTGAAACAATATTTGTTATCCAAACAGGAGACCTGGAACTTAAACATGGAAACAAGATCCAGACCCAAGAACAGAACTCCTAACTTTGAGCTCCCAGGACAGGCCACTTGACAAATGAAAATCCAACGTTGATCTCCCCACCGAACATTGACTCCAGTTCCTTAAGTATACTCCCCCTTGCCTATGGTTTCACTTTTTCTCACACCCGTGTTCCCTTTGTTTTTCTTTCAGTCTTTGGGAACAGCAAATTTGTCTCTGTTTCACACTATCCCTTCTGATCTGTAAACACTGGGTTATTGGTAACCCTCCTGTCTCCTCCACATTCTTTTCAGAGTCAATCCCTGGCCGATTCTCATGAGAATTGCTGTCAGTTTCCTTGACAACAGATCTACACAAAACACTCATCTTGAAAAACATTTTTGCTTTCCCCCACAGAAACACAGGATCAACCAGAAAATCCCGATCCTCATCCTCAGAGGCTTCACAGGCCTCAACTCAAAGCTCTGCCCTCACTCCCCTCCTTTTCGTTGTTGCAATGGATGTAATTACCAGACCTGCAGAAACCAGTACCTTGGACTTTGCTGTACGCTTACAACGTAATGTTTACAATTAAAACCAAACAATTAAAACATAATTTATTAAAAACATCAGTTAAAATCACATCATCTAAAATGTAATCCAGGGCTGTTCCACTTATCAACACATTAATTTGTAATCACTTAATTGCATTTCTCTTTTTATTTGTCAGAAGCTTGGTCCCAGAGCCATGACTTAGATCACAGAGACAGGCCAGGGCCAACAGTTTCAGAAGAAACAGGATGTTTCTCTTGAAAATCCGTTTCTTGGGCCTTCCCAGCCTTCAGAAGATGGGGAGTTACTTCATGATAAGAGATTAGGGCTCCACATGGAGAGAGCTAAGGAAAGGTTAATGAGAAGGTCAGAAAGAATTCGTGAGGAACAGTAATTGAAAGACCAGTGCAAAAAAGATGATCTCATGTTTGTTCGGTCAGGTTTGAGCTTAAATTAGGTTCTGGTTCCCGGGGCTCTTCAGAGCAGACAACTTTGTTAAATAATCTAGTTCATGACCAGTTCTCAAATTTGCCTATGTTTTTGAATTGATTTTTGCCTTGCTTAAGTTCCTGTTTTCATGCTTTGGTTCCTTGGATTTCATGTACCTTGTTATTTTGGGACTTCTTGTACACTCTTATGGATTTCATGTTTCTTGCTACCTTGGATTTCATGGACATTACCAATTTGGGCTACAGTGTTCCCTCATTTATTGCTGTTGTTTTTAAAGAGGGTTCATGTTGGTACAATCTTTGAGAGAGCAACACTGCATTCAGGCGAAGAGCTCTCATTTTTGGCCTATGTTCTTGGAATTCATGTACATGTACAGTACTCAAGTTTCTAAACTGTTCTTGCTTTTCGTTCATGTGTGGCCTGATTTGCCTGCCTTGGATTTTATGTTATCTTGCCTTTGGAAATCTCGGTGAATTGCTGTTGGGGGCTTTCCTTGCATGGATTTTTGGATTTTCGGCTTTTATGGAAATAACCCTTTGAACTTTCTTGCTTTTGAATTTGCTTGCTTTTTATACACTCTGCTTTTAATAAACTTACTTATTGGATTACCTGGGCAGTGTGTGGTTTGTGGTGAAAACAGACTTCAGGGCCCTAGAGCAACACTTCGCCTCAACACTAAAAAGACAACCAATGAGGAGGAGACTGGCACCATCCAGGCTGATGGTGTGGATCTCCCAAAAGTCAACACCTTCAGGTATCTCGGATTGATGATGACTTCAGATGGCAGCCTTTCGTATGAAGTCATTACACAGACTAACGTGAGTTGGATGAAATGGCGCTCGGTAGCAGGTGTACTTTGCGACAAGAGGATGCTCAATCACCTAAAATCAAAAATCTATCGACCTGTAGTAAGGTCTGCCGAAATATGTGGAGCTGCACGTTGGCCAGCAACAAAGGAAGCAGAACAACACCTAGGTATTATGTAGATAAGGGTGCTCTGGCTTCACACGCCTTGACCACATCTGCAATTATGACATCCAGCAATGCTATGGCATTTCTTGAGTTGCTGACAAACTACATCTCTGGCATACAACAACAACAACAACAAAACTTTATTTATATCTCACCCCATCTCCCTGTGGGGACTCAGGACAGCTCACAGGCATGAAAAGGCAAATATTCAATGCCTTGTACTGTAATACATAAATAAAAATCAGGTGCACAACTGAGTGAAATCGCACCAACAAACCAGTAAAGCAGACCTCCATCAAGCGGGAGAAACGCTGAAGAAGAAGCAATCACAATACATTATTATTATTTTTTATTATTATTAGGATTATATTTATATCTTTTATCCTGTAAAGAGACTCAAAGCAGCAATCACAATGCAATATTATTATATTTTATATGCTTTTTTTCCTCTTAAAATTAGACTCAAAGCAGAGTGATGACAATATATTATTAACAATAAATTTTTATTAGGATTACATTTAATTGTATGCTGCCTTTTCTCCCATAAAGAGACCCAAAGCAGTGATCACAATGCAATATTACAGTAGAGTCTTGCTTATTCAACCTTCTGTATTATCCAATGCAGTCTACTTCCCACCTGGATCCACAGCTGTTTCAATACATTGCGATGTTTTGGTGCTAAATTCGTAAATACAGTAATTACTACATAACGTTACCGTGTATTGAACTGCTTTTTCTGTCAATTTGTCAATTTGTTGTAAAGCATGATGTTTTGCTTAATTTGTAAAATCCTAACATAATTTGACATTTAATTTAATAGGCTTTTCCTTAATCCCTCGTTATTATCCAACATTTTCACTTATCCAACGTTCTACTGGCCCATTTATGTTGGATAAGTGAGACTCTACTGTATTATTATTTTATTAATTTATTTATTTATATGCCATTTTTTCTCTCAAAATTAGACCCAAAACAAAGTGATAACACATTATTATTATTATTAGTAGTAGTAGTAGTAGTAGTAGTGCCTTTTCTTCCGTAAAGAGACTTAAAACAATGATCAGAATGCAATATTATCATAATATTTATTTATATTTTATTGACTATTATTATTATTATTATTTATATGCCATTTTTGCCTCTTAAAATTAGACCCAAAGCAGAGTGATGACAATACAGTATTATTATTATGCCAAAGAAACCATAGAACAGGAGCAAAGACAAAAGCTGTATCATTGTTAGACCTTGGACTTTATATCAACAAGACTGTTTCTGATGGCCAAGTGAAAGCTCAATTTGTGCAAAATCTACAGATTCCATTGCCAGGATATGTATTTCCTGTGGATAAGAAGAGGCACCTAAAATTTCTACCCGAATGGTTCAGCAGATTTCTCTGGTTCGCCTACTCATTTCATGTACAAGGTGCACTCTGTAAGTCTGGAGTGGGGTTTGGAGGAGAAATTGGGGGCAAAGGTGTCCATCAGAAGCTTGGTGCAGTGGTGGCTAAACCATAGGGTTGCTACTCCGCAGTGGAAAATGCCTTGGTTTTATTTATTTACTATATTTATATCCTGCCTTTCTCAACCCCAAGGGGGACTCATGGCGGATGATGAGAAAAGAAATAAGTAGAAAGTAAAAGAAAACAGAAATAATCGCTTGCCAATTGTGGAAACTATTGTCCTTTGCAGGCCGATAAGAGGGAGCACAGATTGTGATTTGGCTTTGCTATCAGAAATGATCTGGTGAAGCACCTGACTGAAGCACCCATTGCCATTAACAAATGACTCTCAACCCTCTGAATTAACCTTGCCAAAAACCAACGGGCAACCATCATAAGTGCCTATGCACCAAAACTAGATGCTGATGAAGACATCAAGGAATTTTTTTACTGTCAGCTGGACACCGTCCTATCTTCCATGATGACATGATGGCAACAGTCTTGGACAGCAATGGCTCCCAAAGTGACCCATTTAAGGTGGAATCAGGTGTCAGACAGGGATGTGTTATTGCCCCAACCTTATTTTCCATCTTCATCGCTATGATACTTCATCTTGTTGATGGGAAACTTCCCACCGGAGTGGAAATCATCTATCGGACAGATGGCAAGCTATTTACCCTCAGCAGACTGAAAGCCAAAACCAAGGTTACAACAACATCTGTTATGGAACTCCAATATGCTGATGACAATGTCGTCTGTGCGCATTGAGAAGAAGACCTACAAGCCACTCTAAATACCTTTGCAGAAGCATACGAGAAGCTCGGCTTGTCACTGAACATCAAGAAAACCAAAGTGCTCTTCCAGCAGGCACCAGCCAATCCGCCTGCAATGCCAGAAGTACAGCTTAATGGTGTAACATTAGAAAATGTTGACCATTTCTGCTACCTTGGCAGCCACCTCTCCACCAAAGTCAACATTGACACTGAAATACAACACCACCTGAGGTCTGCAAGTACAGCATTTTCCCGAATGAAGCACAGAGTATTTGAGGACTGGGACATCCGTAGGGATACCAAGGTGCTTGTTTATAAAGTTATTGTCCTCCCAACCCTGCTATATGCCTGCAAAACATGGACTGTCTACAGACATCACATTCAACTCCTGGAACGATTCCATCAGCGTTGCCTCTGAAAAATCCTGCAAATCTCTTGGGAAGACAGGTGGACAAATGTCAGCGTGCTGGATGAAGCAAAGACCACCAGCAGTGAAGCGATGGTCTTCCGCCGTCAACTCCGCTGGACCGGCCACGTTGTCCGAATGCCCGATCACTGTCTCCCAAAGCAGTTACTCTATTCCAAACTCAAGAACGGAAAACGAAATGTTGGAGGACAGGAAAAGAGATTTCAAGATGGGCTTAAAGTTAACCTTAAAAACTGTGGCATAGACATCGAGAACTGGGAAGCCCTGGCCCTTGAGCGTTCTAGCTGGAATCAGCTGTGACCAGCAGTGCTGTAGAATTTGAAGAGGCACGAATGGAGGGCGAAAGAGAGAAACATGCCAAGAGGAAGGTGTGTCAAGCCAACCTCAACTGGAACCACCTTCCACCTGGAAACTGATCCCCTCACTGTGGGAGAACATGCGCATCAAGAATAGGGCTACACAGTCACCTATGTACCCACTTCTAGGACACTGCACTTGGAGGACAATCTTACTCGAACAACGAGGGATCGCCTAAGTAAGTAAGTAAGTAAGTAAGTAAGTAAACCTGTGAAGAACCTTTGCATAATAATGGTCATTCCAGGGCTTTGTTGAGATCTTGTGCCAGATCAGGAGACACTGGCCTGAAAAGTCATCTTGCAGGAGGAAAAGTTTCAAGAGCTCCTAAATTTTCTTTTTGGCTACAGGCTCTCTGTATATATTTTGGATGGAACTGGTTGTGCAGGGCAGTACATTCGTGATGGCGCTTTGCTTCTTATTTGTATCCTAATCAGAGTCATGTTCTCTGTCCCTTCTCAGCCATGGAGATGTCTGTTGCCCCAATGTCTCCTTGACCTGCCATACAACCCTCCGGCGCACAGATTGCAAGAGGAGGAGGGAGGGAAAGGATGCGCCGGACGTGCAAAACAGATGCTCCCTGCAGCTGCCGGGTACAGAAGAACATCAGCGAGGGAAGGAGGCGGAGCAGAGGCATTGCCTTCTTCGCTGGGTTGAAAAAAATCCCAAAGGTTTGCAGACTAAAACAACAAGACCAAAAGACAGTCAGGCGCCATGCTATTAATATTATTAGTATTATTATTCGACTCTCTGTTCACTGGTCCCCATTGGCATGGATCAATGCCGAATTCATATCATTTCTTGTTGCTTTGGGAGATATTATTCAAAACAAGCCTAGTATTATACCCCATACGAGAGCTCTTTATTGACTTGATATTAATTAATATAATAACAATAAGAAAAAGATAATAATAATAGTGTTACTGTAACTTATTATATATAAGTATATTATATTATATTATGTTATCATTGTATTGTACAGTTGTGCCAGGCTGCCCCCTACTGGAGAGAGGGCCACAAAGCATGCATAGCTATAGTGGCAATTCACCATTATATATTGTCGAAGGCTTTCATGGCCGGAATCACTGGGTTGTTGTAGGTTTTTTTTGGGCCATGGCCATGGTCTAGAGGCATTCTCTCCTGACATTTCGCCTGCATCTATGGCAAGCATCCTCAGAGGTAGTGAGGTATGTTGGAACTAGGAAAAGGGGTTTATATATCTGTGGAATGACCAGGGTGAGACAAAGGGCTCTTGTCTGCTGGAGCTAAGTGTGAATGTTTCAACTGACCACCTTGATTAGCATATACTGGCCTGACAGTGCCTAGAGCAAACTTTTGTTGAGAGGTGATTAGATGTCCTTGTTTGTTTCCTCTCTGTTGTTGTGCTGTTGTAATTTTAGAGTTTTTTAATACTGGTAGCCAGATTTTGTTCATTTTCATGGTTTCCTCCTTTCTGTTGAAATTGTCCACATGCTTGTGGATTTCAATGGCTTCTCTGTGTAGTCTGACATGGTGGTTGTGAGAGTGGTCCAACATTTCTGTGTTCTCAAATAATATGCTGTGTCCAGGTTGGTTCATCAGGTGCTCTGCTATGGCTGACTTCTCTGGTTGAAGTAGTCTGCAGTGCCTTTCATGTTCCTT